CCCAGCAGCGACAACGCCAGCGCCAGCTGCAGATCTGACGCGAGAACACTAGTAGTCACCTCGTGCTCCTATGGTTTGCACCAAGCACAAGTCTCGGATGTTCAACGTTATTGTCGGGCACGCCCCGCACTCTAAGACCTCCCCACCGTTGCAGGAGTGGTGGAAAATCTCGAAAAGCTCCGATGAGATCTTGTCTCTCGCTCCTACTGTCCGACGCGTGGATGACCATGCGGCAATGGGACTTCCATCTTCGCAACACAATGGCCCCGTCGCGCCAGAGGCACCCAACCTCACGGGGCAACACTTTTCTCCAAAACTCGTTTCCCTCCACATTCCGACTTGCGGCAAGCCCTCCTGGCACGCGGATCTCCCCCCATAAAGCCCCCGCCGATGACTCAAATTAAAAAACGAAAGACTATGCGGCACTCAACTTAAGTGGACAGGGAAGTCCCAGTGGCGCTTTCGATACGAGACCACGCTGCTCCCATTGTCAGATGTAAGCTCATAACAGCGGATTGTAGCTACCCCCCATACCTTTCCCAGACACTCTCGCATGATCCCCTCGCGCGCCGTGACCAGGAAGCTAGGGCTTGCTTCATGGAGATGTTTGCTCCCAGTGCTGCGTCTCTTCCATTTGCCATCCTCGCCTCGGATCATGCACTCCTGCAGTGCCCATTCGCCCGCGACGCCGCCATCGCATGCGCTTTACTCACGTAAACCACTGCCAAAGGACGCTCTCCCCAAAACAGCCGAGCATAGGCTGCCTCGCTATCATTCATGGATCAGCGGGTAGAAGCGCTTGAGACCACCCGCCAGAGCGCAGCGCATAGCTGGCGAGGCTAAGATCGCACTGGCCATGCTGGACTGGTGTCATGCATCAAAATACGGCGGGCAACTTCGCCCCTCGGGCGCAGCGCAGTGTCGGGCCACATGGGGGACCACTGGCCTGGATGAGAGCCTCATCCAGAGTGGTGCCAGGTTCAAACGACACATAGCGACGGCTCGGCCGTTCGCGCGCCACTGGGGCCGGATTCTCTTCACTGCCACCAAGGGGCAGCAGCGTCGGGCCAAGACGCCCGGCAGCATGCACAACTCAACGGGGCCCTTGCCTGACAAAGGCCGATCCGAGCATGATCAAAGAAGAGGCTTCGAGCAACCCCCCCCACCCCACCATGTCAAAGCCGATGTTATCAGCCTCGAACGAATCCCTATCCCTGGAGATTGACACGCCAAAAGGCGAGGACAATCTTAGGGATTCGCCCTCAAAAATAAGGGAATCCCTGAGATTCGCATCGTGACGAGGAGGTGCCCAGCACAGGGATAGGGATCTGTTCCAGGCCGGTAGCGATGGGACTCCCGACTTCGGGCCCCGCGAAGGTCAACAGTAAGCGGCTGCGCCATCTCCAGCGCATGGCATTCGGCGCGGATCCCCCGCGAGGGACGGCCGCTCTGCACGACCACTCCATCTCCAACATCCGAGAACTTCTAAGCGTGAACTCTCCACATCTCATCTCGGGGATCTTCTGACCCAGGTCAGACCAGACCTGACTACCTACCAGACCACCCCAACCCAACCCGAAGACCCAAATTTCGGGTTGGGGGGGGTATGGGTTCCATACGTGTTTTCTCACTGTTCCCCGACCCCCCCCCACTGGAAATGGAAGGCAAACGGAGGCCTTCGGGTTGGGTTGGGGTGGTTTGGTAGGTGGTGACAGACCCGGGTCAGCAAGAAACCAGAAACTGCAATGCAAGAAACAAAAAAAAAAAAAAAAAAAAAACTGCCACGCAGGTCCTCGCAAACCCGGGTCAGCCAATGTGTGCGGCCGCCTCGCGGCCACGAACGGCTCGCTAACCCGGGTCAGCCAGAGGGGGTCTTCGCAGGATCCTGCAGGACCTGATGCCCTGGCTGACCCTCTTTTGCGTTGACCCCCGTCTCAAGGCTCCCGACCATCATTGTTTCACTTCGCTCCGGCAGAGGCCCAGCGATCTTATGCCAAAGCCCCCTCCTAAGCAGCCAGCGTCGACGACATGCCAGGGCAATTCGTTGGAGTTCATGCACAAGTCCTTTCTCGAGCGCATTTTCTGGTTCAAGTCATGGCGCGTCTGCGCCCTGAGGATAGCTTGGAAGGAAGGCACAAGTTTTGATATGTATGCATATAAAACATAAAGACTAGAACAACCCATCGCTGATAAATGTAAACGTAAAACACATGGAACGAAACAAAATAGCAAGGGGAACACATTCTTAGACATATCGAAGGTCCAAAGACGTTACACGTAACAACTGTACAACCGCAAACCAACCGAACCGACAACGAAACCTGACCGAATCCGACAGACGGCAGGCGGCCTGAACAGGCGTAGCGACGCAGCAACGACGCTACATGCGACCGAACCGAGATGACCGAGCGCCACCGACTGCGACGCGGCTCATCCGACCGAGCCGCGGGCCATCGGAGCCGGCCCTGCGCGGAACTAGCTGAGCATCGATTGAAAACGATTGCAAACTATTGAAGGGGCCCTGGGTCACATAAATAAACACGCACAAATAAAAGTACACCCCATATTTTCATATATCTTCCGGGTTCCTGTCATCCCCCCCACTTCCCATATTTCCCATATTTTCCTGGGGATCGACGACTCGCTGGGTCGGTGTGTTTTTTCCCTCCTGAACTATACCCGACCCCCTCGCAGCTCGGACCTCGCGTGCGCGAGGCCGGGGAGCGAGCGGAGCCCGGCAGCGAGGCGGCGACGGAGCGGGCACGGAGGAGGCCCACGCCAGCGCGCCAAAACGCCACGGGAGCTGGGCGGCGCGGCGCGGAGACGGCGGAGAGACGGAGGGCCCGGGCAGCGCAGGGAGGGCCAGGCTCCTCCTCCTCCTCCTCCTCCTCCTCCTCCTCCTCTCCTCCTCCTCCTCCTCCTCCTCCTCCTCCTCCTCCTCCTCCTCCTCCTCCTCCTCCTCCTCCTCCTCCTCCTCCTCCTAGGGAGCGGGTCTGGAGGACGAGGGGCAGAAGCAGGGAGAAATTGAGGAAGCCGTTCGGGCGCACGTGTGCTGCGACTCGGTGGGACGAGGGGGGATGCGAGGGGGGGAGAGTGAGGATGACGGCGGCGACGAGGACAGGACACGAAGCAAGGAGTGCGGAGGATTGGGCAAAAGAGGAGGACAAAGATGAGTAGGATCAAGACGAGGACGACATGGATGATTTTACAAATCGGGCACAAAGGCGGCGCAATCGAGGCATCCACGAACAGACTCACACGCAGTCTTCTGAGCCGTGACGCTACGACGGCGATGGCTCTCTCGAAAACAAATGCTTGCAGACGTTTCTAAGGGAAACGTACGTCGCCGAGCAAGCTTCACACCCATGATAAAGCGAGTGGGCTCTCTCGGTATGGAGTGCCCACAGCAGCACTCCGCCACCGCCACCACACTCTGGTTGGGGGCGCCATGGGCCCGTGCCGGTTGCGGCGCCAGGGGCCCACGGGCGGACAGTCGACGGACATTACTCCACCAGCGAATCAGGCATCGGGCTTCCTCCTGCAGCACAGGCAGAGGAACAGACACCTGCATGAACAGAGACTTTGGGATGGGAGGGCCAGGAGCGGTGCCGGGAGCGGCCAAGAGGGGGGTGTCCAAGAGGGGGGGTGCAAATCATGACCGGCGGCATGTGCGCGGCCCAGCGGGGGGGCCAGGGACGTAATGAAGTAAGAAGGGGCGCCACGAAGTCTGGGGAGATATCATGGCCCCCCCATGATATCCACCCCCCCTACTCATCACCCCCCTCTTTTCTGCCCCCGAATGAACAGAGACTTTGGGATGGGAGGGCCAGGAGCGGTGCTGGACCCCTTCCCCTGGCGCGCGGAGGGAGCCGGGAGCGGTGCCGGAGGCCGCCACGGGGGGGGGGGATCCTGCGCCGACCCGAGAGAAATCCGCGCTTGCCTCCGAAAGCTTCTTGATGGGCCTTTTTTCCACCACCACCACCACAAGTTGGAGGGGGAGGGGGTCCCCCTCCTCCTCCTCCTCCTCCTCCTCCTCCTCCTCCTCCTCCTCCTCCCCCTCCTCCTCCTCCCCCCTCCTCCTCCCCCTCCTCTCCTCCCTCCCTCTCCCCCTCCCCCTCTCCTCCACCTCCTCCTTCCTCTCCTCCTCCTCCCTCCTCCTCCCCTCCTCCTCTTCCTCCTCCTCCTCGTCCTCCGCCTCCTTCCCCCCCAGCTTTCTGGTGGTGGTGGTGGAAAACGGGCCCACCACTTCTGCTTATGCAGATCTTTGATCTTCAGCCAAGTGCTATCAGTGCGCGGCCAACGCTGCCATGGTCTGAGCACGAGGAAGCACCCGCTGGGAAGCATGCGATTCTTGTGAGACGTGCTCGGTCTGCCTTACTCGCGTGGACACGCTCTGGGGAGGGCGGCCCGATCGGACGCCCTCCCGAGGAAAATGGTGCGGGGGCGCGCGCAGCATCCGCCCCAGGCATCCTCGCCTTGTAGAAAATCACGGCGGACGAATCTTGGCAATTTTCATCCTCCGAGGGCCCTCACCAAAGCCCCAAGGCCGGCAGCAGACGATTTGGGATGAGAAGCCGGTCCCGGTGGAAGGAGGGTCCCACCCATGGCTTTTCACGACGTGGCTCCAAAGAGGCATGTATCGCGAGTCGGTTGTTGATCGCAGGGCCTGGTGAGGGCCCTGGGAGGACGAAGATGGCCCAAACTCGTCCGTCGCGACTTCTTCGCGACGCGACGAGGTCAGGGGACGGAAAAGCCCTTCTTTATTCCTGATAACGCCCGTGACTGGCCTCGAGTTGCGATTCGCGCGAGCGCCGCCTGGGAATTCATCAGCCAGTCTCAAACATTCCAAGACGGCACCGGCACGAAGCATGACGTGACCCGCCCCCATCCCCCCTCCCCCGCCTGGTCACGCGCGTGATCGCAAGAGATCAAAAACGGTCTCGAGATGACACAGAGAGCCACACGCAAACGGTGAGCCTTGAAGGCCATGCACGCGACTCTCAACATCTGCGGGGGGCTGGTTGGCGGCGCGCACCGGGGGGTAGGGGGAGGGGGAAGGCTTTTTCGAAGGAGGCTGCTTCTCAAAAGGGACGCCTTACATCCATAGATAAGGTCCGCACCTTCTAAGAAGCAGGGGTGCGTCTAACAAGCCTTCCCCCTCCCCCTACAGCCCTCTGCGCGTGGTCGAGCTGGGGTGGCGTAAAGCGCCACGCACAATCAGCGAGGCTTGAAAGCCCCGCGCGCGACTCTCAACATACGTGGTTCGCACGCGAGCGCTTGAAGGCCGTCCGCGCTGGCGCTTGCGCTTGAAGGCCGTCCGCGCGGCCAACCCGCCGCCTGGCCGCTCTAGGGGCGCGGCCGCTGCCGCCAGCGCAAGGTGCAGGGAGCCTGCGCTGGAGGCCCGGCTCAGTACAGGCAGAGGATGCAGTTCTGCATCGGGACCAGGGAGGGCAAGTGAAGAGCGACGTCCGAGGAAGAGACCGCTGCATAAACATACACTTTCGCTCCGCGCGGCACTGTTGGATCTGCGCTCTGATACCACCTCCATGGCGCGCGAAGCGCGCCACGGTGGGCGGCAGAGGCGCGGCCAGAGGGCCCCAGCGCCGATCCAAGGAATCCGCGCGGATCTCCGAAAGTGTATGGTTGTGCAAATGTGTGTCCCCTTCAAGATGTTCTCCTCGAACCCCTGCACATATGCCGGGGTTACCTCCAACGACTTGCCCGGCACGCCGGCACCGGGCATGTCCTGGTTGTGGAACCTCTGGTAGAAGGCCTCTGCAGCCGAGGACTCCCTGAAGTTCACGAAGGCGATGGACCTGTTGTTCGCCCTCTTCTTGGCATCCAGAGGTACGTAAATCATGTCGCAGGAGTCCTTGAAACCATGGTCGTTGAGAACGCGGGCCAACTCCTTCGACGAGAGCGCCAGATCAAGGTTCTTGAGCCTCACGGTGGTGACGCCGCTCAGGCCACCACCTGGGAGGACACAAACAATACACCTGCTACGCCGAATCTGGCCACGCCTACGGTGGGTCAAAGATCGGTGTATGCGCGTCCTGGCTTGGCCACGAATCCCACCAGTCCTTTGAGCGACAGGTGGTCTAACGAGGGTCTCTTTCCTCTTCCACACCCCCTCTTCCCTTCGGGGAGAGAGACCCTCCCCCTCCCCTCCCTGAAATTTTTTGGAAGGGATCGCGAGGTGTCGGAAGCTCTTTTTTTCGGCCGCTGGGACGGCCATTTTCTGCCACCCCTCGCAAATCGAGCACCCCCCCCCTATTTTGACCGACCGCCTCCAAGATGGCCCCAAAAGGCCCTCCAGGGCTCCCAAGAAGGCCCTAAGAGCAGAAGACCCAAGAGGCCTCCAAAAAGAACCCGAAAGGCCCCCAAGAGGCCACCGAGCAACCACAGAGATCCCAAGATTACCTCCAAGATGGCTCTGATAGCCCAAGCTGGCTCAAGATGGCTCCCAAGATGCTCCAAGTGACCCCAAGACCGCTCCAAGACGGCTCGAGATGGCCACGGAGCCTCCCAAGCCTCCCTCAATATTTGACGACAACGACTACGACTGCGACTACTTTCACTACTGCTACTTCTTCTACGACTCTACCACTACTACTAAAAAATAAT